ACTGATCAGTTTTAGGTGAAAATCTACCGAGCCGTTTTCTTGTAATTAACTGTTGAAAAAAAAGTGTTAAATTTTCGTCGACATTTAAGCTCATCCTACCGAACCGATTTTAAAATATCGAAAACTGTTCGGAAGATATTAGTTGGTAATGATACTGATTATTTTAGGTGAAAATCTACCGAGCCGTTTTCTTGTAATTAACTGTTGAAAAAAAGTGTTAAATTTTCGTCGACATTTAAGCTCATCCTACCGAACCGATTTTAAAAATCGAAAACTGTTCGGAAGATATTAGTTGGGAATGATACTGATTAATTTTAGGTGAAAATCTACCGAGCCGTTTTCTTGTAATGAACTGTTGAAAAAAAAATTTAAGCCGATTTTCATGGAAATTTTTTTGGCGATATACATCATGGTCTTATAGAACTTACTGTAATATTACGGCCTAACGACAAGTAGTTTAATTTTAAAAATTCGTCAAAGTTTGCTAAAATTATTATCGTTTTTTTTAAAGTAGGATAATGAAGTATATTATTTACACATTTTTTTTGATTAAGTCGATTATTTACACATTTCGGGAAGTTCATGTAACTTGCCTCAAGGCTAAATACCAAACCAACTAGTTAATAAATAATTCAAAACTTGTGTCAAATATTTATTACAAAAAGATTTTAGCTCCCAGTAATTGTAAGAAAAATATTTTCACTTATTATTCAACACTTCATTCCTATATTTATCAAACTTTAATATTACCAATGATCATTTCAGATCCATATATAAAACAGATTCAAATATTTTTTCCAAATCTGAAGCAGAAAAATTGAAACCGTAGTATATATGAAATCAGAGTCAAGTATTATTTTTATGAATACGTTATACCAGAATTACCAAAATTGCATCTATAAATACTTACTATATTTAGTTCAATAGCTTGTACGTGCGTGGTACATGATGGAAAACTGATCTTGTTCTGAAATGAAATATCTGTATATGTAATAAAATAATTTACAATAATTTTAAAGAAATTTTAAACATATTATAAATCATCTTAAATAAAATTTTGATTGTCAAAAATTATTATAAATCATATATTTATTTATAAATGATCACTATTTTTTTTTAAAAAAACTTTATTTGTCTATTATAAGTAAATACAAAAATATCATATTAAGAAACTGCACACCTATGCAATTGATATCAATACATCAATCAATATGTTTGGAATTGACAATATATGATATTAAAAATAGTGGCAATTTTCTATAAAAAACCATAAACATATATAATATAAATCACTATTAAATAAGTTCTAATAATAAAAATCTTGAAAACCTACATATACAATAACGGTAAACCTAAACCGTTGGGTTACCATCTAACTACAGCCAGTGGTGTTGTGCTAATATTTTTTTTGCAGGAACGCTAAAATTTAAAATCCGGTTCATAAACCGGTTCAAAAAATTTGATATATTTCGATAAGAACTCACAAATTTAATATATTGACTTCTTATATAATTAACTCTATTATATATAGCTACTCTATAAATTAAATTGTACAAGTATGAGGGAATCATTGAGTACATAATTTATTATTATATTCTTTAATAACATTAATTATATTTATTGTGGTATTATTTGTATTCATTAATACTTACAGGTATTTATTATGATCTAAAAGTACTCAAGATTTATTACAATACTTTATAAGACTTAACCTAATAATACGATAGATAACCTTTTACCTATCTTACTATACTATATTATTGTATATCATAGGTAGATATTTATTATCAATCATACCGTGAGATACCTACACCGTCATTAACTTATTATATACCTACATACTTTTTACTTCTTATAAATATTACTGTATAATTTATATATTTACCTATATTATATATTACCTTACGCCCTACGTATTATCTCTATCTATATATTGTCTATACCGGGAATTGAACCCGGGACTTCGCGTGGCGGTCGCGCACCTTAACCACTACCCTATCGGGTACCCCCATCAATAATATTATGGGACGCACTGTTGTTTCCGCGGGTCATTTTCTATTTAATTAGGTAATTATTACTAACGTGGCGCGACGACACGCGAAAAAAGACGGTTGATTGTAGCGTTACGGTGGTGTAGTGGTTAAGGTTGTCGCGTTCCACGCGGCGGACCCGGGTTCGATTCTCGGTAGGGTTAATGTATCGTGTAAGGAAAATTATAGGTAATAGGATATATAGTAGATATAGGTTAGGTGTATTCGGTATACAATGTAGGGATTTGATAGTATATGATGAAATATAGCGTATGGTATAGATGTAAGGCGTATAGTATAGAATGCAACGTATAGGCATACGTAAGGCTATAAAAATACACGAATAGGAACCTATAATGTAGCTGTTAGCGTATAAGAAATGCGAATGAATATAAGATTTAATTTATAAATATTATTTTTTTCATAAGAATTTTATTCGGTATTAAATATCTAAATATCCAAAATAGCCGTTAAGGCATCGATTACACCTTACTGCTGCCTTTGCCGTTATCACTTCATAGAAAATTAATTACTGCACTTTTAAACGATTGTGTGCACTGTGCGACAATAGACATAGAATTATAAATTTTATTAAATGTTTGAGTAACTTGTGCGAGCTGATTTTCTTAAGATGTTCTTAGTCTCGCAACTTACTGAATTCTAAAAATTCTAAATTTAAAAATATAA